TCTGTTAGGTATAGACACAACCATAACTGCAATGTACACAGTATGCTATGTGGCTCAGTAAATTAAAAGAAAGTCACATGCTTTTTTCTTAAATACTATATAGAATAGGATATATAGTATATAATTTGTGTTCCCCCCAAAATTAACAATTTTCTACAAGCTCCCTAAGCCTATGAGGTATGAGAGCTGGAGGTGCTTACTCCAGAAAAGTTTAATAAAGTGAACTTCAAATCCCATCTCATTACACCAAATTAAATTACATTTAATCCATTATTTGTGATATCATGCAATATGGCGCGTAATCAGTAGTAGTATTTATTTTACTCTCAGGTGGTGTATGGGACCACGCAGGAAAGCATGCTGTGGCAGAGCTGCTTTCCCTCCTTCGCACATTTATGTTTGTGTATGTATATATGAACACATATATGTTTGTGTATATATGTATATATATATATGTATATATATATAAATATATATATATATATATATATATATATATATGTATATATATATATATATATATGTATATATATGTATATATATATATATATATATATATATATATATTATATATATAATTATATATATATGTATATATTATATATATAATATATATATAATATATATAATAATATATATATATATATATATAATATATATATATATAAACACATTCAACTCCTTTGGTGTGTAAAACCCCATCGTATGCACAGCTCCAGGGCATCAGGCCTGGGCCCTGGAAGACCACAAGGGGGACAAATGCTTGGCGGCTGACATTCCCTGACCCACATAGTTCCCAAGCCGAGCAGCAGCCTGCTGCTCCATGGGATCAGCCGTGTATTACACTTTGCATCAAATCAAGCCATCCACAACCAGTGGATTAAGAATCTTCTCTATGAAAATTGTGTAATTCACACAAAATAATGTTCACAGTTACCCGCATCTTCAATATATAGACCCATTCAATAAAGCCATTCCTTTACTACAAAGACTCACTTATGAGCCATCTACAGCTGCTTTGAGATCTGCATTGGTTATTTTACAATTACACTAGCCCAGGATAAGTGCATCTATGGTGTTTTTAAATTTAACAAGAAACATTTATCCTAAACTCATTGCTCATATGCAGCAAAGAATAGCCGACTGCCAAATTCACAACCTTGACAGTTTGTGTGGTTTTGACTATATTCTTCTAGGTGCCCTAGGCAGCATGGAAAAGGTGTGCACTCTAAATCTTCAAGCCAAGATACAGCCCTTGACAGCTGGTCAAAAACAAGAGACACATGACAAACAACTAAAATCACTAAACCTGTACTGAACAACCTCCCATACTGACTTCAGTGTAAGATGTCTGTACTTTGGCCAACTTGGTATATTTGGCACTTTCAATGCGACAGGTGGTAATTGTTACTGAGAGCGACACACCCTCCAGAGACAAAATCCCAAATCCAGAGTATCAAGTGAATCCAAAAAATAAAACATAACCTTTCCAACCTTCTATTAATTCCCTAGGGGCAAACCCCCCTGTACCCCTAACTTAAGGTGTGGTTCAACTGGTCTTGGGTACTCGTGCAGGTCTGACCGTAAGCGCAGCTATCTGAGCCGAATTCGTCACTTTGGTGTGAAATCTGGGGGTCTAAGGGAAAGCAGCAATACCATGACGTAGAGCATGTTTTTCCTCAGGTAGCTCCTGGCTTTTGAGGGTGCATTTTCAAATTATTGTTTGTAATATGCTTAAAGAAATTATCAATATCTAAACTCAACAAATGTTATATTACAGATTTTATAAAATATATTTAGGGTTAAGCACAAAATTCATTTCTCATTTACAAATAACTAATAAAAAAGAAATGGCTAATTTGAAACTGAGGATCTACACACTTCAACAGCCTAGTAGACATTAATTTTGAATCTGTAAATTGGTTTCCATGTTTTCTTCAAAAAATATATACTACGAAACACAAAACTATGGTGAAACAGGGAATAAGTCCTTGTGCTCCTTATTGCTCAAATGAAAAATATCATGCATGGTATTATTCAAGCTTGAGGCATATGCAGTCTACATCTGGCTAGGCGCTCGGACACAAGTCAATTCCTAGATGTACACAAGACCAGTTGAACTAGAAAATGGATATTAGGAACTCTGGCTGTGTGAGGGTCTTGATTTAGCCTCTGAGAGGTGATATAATGCAAATATTTTTCTCATCTCACAGTAAATAGGAGGCCACTGTAGTTGTACCTATCTTGTTTTATACTATACTTCTTGTGCTTTATAAGAAGGTGGTGTCCATTTCCTCCTATTTCTGTGAATTGCTCGTGGTAACTTATACCCAACAGGCTACTGATTATCCACCATAACATGGAGAAACTAAAGATCTTTTTTTGGATTTTTTTTTTTTCACATAGCCACCTAACCTTGCAATTATCATACAGTTTCAATTATTCACATCGTAACCTATGTGGCTCTGATTTTGTTTTCCATTGCAAAAGATGTAAATGAAAGTATTGGGAACTGTTTATGAATTGGCCTCACCCTCACTAAGTCCTTGGAAACCACAAACCAAGGGACTTCACCCCTAACCCCCATTCAAGTTGCTGTATCTCCCATCAGATACTCTGCAGTAGGGTGGATGTGATATATATTCTTAATGATATTACATTTCAATATTCTACAAACTTCTAAGACTTTCTCCTAAATGACTAAACAGGAGCTAGGGATTGAATATAGACAGTTTCCAAGATCATACAACTTGGCCTGGCCAAAAGGGGCAATAATCAACGAGTACCCATGGCATAAAGCAAGATGAAAGCCACCAAACACATTACAGTAATAAACACTAGAAATAAGAATGATCCCAATATGTCCCCATTAATCCTTTCATTTTTACCTAAGCAAAATGCTAGTGTAATTAACATGAGCCTATTGTTAACAAATAAACATGGATTAAAAATCTTTTCCTACAATTAGCACAATATTATCAAAATGCAGTTAAAGTTAACTCATATCTTATCATAATTTTCTTGGTTGTAGTATAATAAGCTTTACATATATCAAAATTTACAAATTTGAAAATCTATTGGTCAACTCTTTTTTTTAATCAATTAATATGAAAATTCCTCTCCCAGATGATTTTTTAGTTCTAGTAATCCTTAAGCTGTCAACAGCACTGAAAACAATTTATGATTTCAAAAATAATAAAAACAACCATACACCTTGTTTCTTGAAAATGAAAAAAATATCAACAAAACTTGTCCTCACTCCTCTGGCTAGTAGCAGCCCACACCACTGCACCTCACACACACCTGGCAACTGTAGTAATGAGCCGCAGGCAACCCAGATGTCTCCTCTTTGCAATGCGACTGCAAGCTAAAAAAGCAGAGCCAAAGGGCCTTTCCTCAGCAGGCCGACCTTGCGCGAGTGCTGACCTCAGGCAAGAGTCAGCTGTTCAGTGTTCAACCCCGACTGTTCTCACAACAGTCGGACCTTAACAATCACGCTTCATATTTAAGGGACAAACGCTACTCCCACGACACTCCAAGTTTACTCACTATCTTCAGCATGTATGTTATGCCTTGTGGAGGTCACGTCGGGTGTCCCTCAGGAATATCGCGAAACCATTTTCCCGAAATTGTGATGTTTTGCACGAGGTTCTGCCGCCTTACATGTTGTCACACTGAGGTTCCAACAATGCACTGCGGGCTATAAGATTTCAATCGCCCTTTTTTATTCACTTTTGGGGACATTTTGCTCTTCGTTTCTCTATCGGATCTTTATTACATTATCTACTAAATTTTCTGCAGTGGTAATGAGACTATTCAAAGCTATAATATTAATTTACCTTATGCCGCACATGTTTAAAGGTTATGATTGGACACCAATACCTGGTAATAACTTCTAAATATATATCATCCAAACCTTCATTAAACTAAGCGAAAAAGAACCTCGATAATAATCAAAGAAGAAATATTGTTTATAGCTTTCAAAAGAACGTTTTCTCCCCCGCTGACTATGAGTAATTCCGAGATGTGAACATTCAACAGATTCGTCACGCTGTAGTAATCATGGGTAGTAAACCGCATCATTTGACTCTCCTAGCCAGATATTTCGCAATTTTTTAAGCATAATACTCCAAACTCTGTGTCTCTATGATCCTATAACCCTTTTGATATTTCGTCTTGTTAAGTGTTAAGAACTGCCATACCTTGTACCAAGGAATAACGTAGATTCTTGATATGAAGGTCAGCTGGACTCGGCCAATGTCAGCTGTCGTGTATCGCACATTATTCTTATTACGTCCAAGTACAATCTTTATATTTTCTTAGGACTCGGCCAAG